AAAAAAAACCCCCAACAATAAACAAAAACAAAAAAATAACTAGCTGGGCCCCCTTTCGATGAAAGGAATGATCGGTGCATTAAAATCAACTGAAAGTCATTGGCCTTCTTACGCTCTACTGGAATGGAGCAATACACATTGAAAGATAGATAAACCAAGGAGTTTAGAACCTTGAGATAAACAAAACTTTAGAAGGTCCAGATCTATACTCTCAAAACAAAAAGCGCCTCGCGAAATATCACTTCTGGCACTTCTGTTGTGAAGGACAGCTACGCAGATTTGTTCCGTTTCTCAGTAGATTAATCACAAAGGCCAAAGAAGAACGGGAACTTTTTGTCAATTGTGTTTTTCTAAATTAAGGAGATGAATAAACACAAAGAAACAAACAAACAAAAAAACACACAAAAAACTGGGCTCTGTCATGGGGACCTACCTATTTTTTTGCAGGTAGTAGCCAACTTTCAACCCTGCTGTAGCTGTCGTTGTTTTACGAGAGAAGTGACACACGTGTTTCTAAGTTGCCAAATATATAATAGATCTTCGGCACTTTTATGATCCAATTGTGTTGTAAATGCCGTAAAATTTTTATTAAAACTTTTAAAAAAGCATATCAATCATTTTGTGAAATTCTGTAAAACGGTGAAAGACGAAAGCGGGTTCTTAAGAGTATAGGAGGGTCGGGTTTTCAGGCCGATTAATTTGTTTCTTAGACAGAAACTGCTGTAGGTAGGTACATGTATAACAACGTTCAAACATACCGTACATCTATACATAGGCTATACCCTTCATGTAATTTATTACATGATATGATATGAAATTGAGAGTGAACATGGCTTCTTTAGATGAAAACTACAAAGTTCTTATCAGTGCTGTATGTAAAGGGTTACCCATAGATCTAATGTGAGTTTGGACCAAGGAGATTAAAAGTAAGTTCTAAACTCCTTGGTTTGGACCTTCTTTTAGACGGGTTGGCCGTGCGCTCAGTTGTGAAAATTTTGTGTGCTGGAAAAGAGGGTGTGCAGAATTATATAGATGGCAGCCTATCTTCCAACTTTTTGCATGCAAACAAAGAAAAAGAACACAAAACAAACAATGAAAACAAAAGTAATGACGACAAACAACCACCCCCCCCCCCCCCCACACACACACAAACACAGGCGCTCTCGCGCACGCACACACTCACGCGCACACACACACACACACACACACACACACACACACACACACACACACACACACACAATAGCAGCTATAGGCTTACATATACACACAGACACACATCATCATCACCATCGTAGGCAAACGTTCACAGACGCATCACACGAGAGAGAGAGAGAGAGAGAGAGAGAGAGAGAGAGAGAGAGAGAGAGAGAGAGAGAGAGAGAGAGAGAGAGAGAGATTTTTTAAAAATCACAGCTGGTCTAACTAAATATAGCTCCCACGTGACTATCGCTTCATTCAAACAAAATGGAAGCACAGGAACACGCAGCAGAACTTTCCACGTCGTGCCCGATCGACAAGAGCTCATAGCATGGAGTCATATCGTTGCCTTTGATTTTGAGGGTTTACTTTTTGTAAACTTGTGATCGCACTGTAAATTATGTCTCTGGACGATAATATTTCCAGACAGGTACATCTCTAAAGTAAAGTCAAAGTTAATCAACCAAAGGTCCAAGCCTCTTGTCTTGGAACTCTTTCGACTTTCACTTTTACATTACATTCTCTTGTCTGATCTCATCGTCTAGATTCTAGATTCTAGATTCTAGATCTAGAATCTAGTCTATCTAGATTCTAGAATCTAGATCTATGATATCTAAATTCTAGATATCTAGATCTAATTACTATGTCTTCCGAGTCTTCTGATTCTGAGTTCTCTATTGACATTCTTGAACTCTTGGCCTACTAGAATCTAGATTAGATATAATCTAGATTCTAGATTTAGATCTAGATTTCTAGATTCTATACTATCGTAACTAGGTCTAGATCTAGATCTAGCCTAAAACTAACTATGAACATGTATGCTAATCGAGTTGATATCTTGGCAGTTTTCCATATTTGGGTGCTTTTTTGGTAGGCCTTAGTTCCCACCCCCCTTATTTGAGTTTGAGCCTAGATCTACATCTAGATTCTAGATCTAGATGTACGTTTGATGCATGGCGAGCTAAGATATTTAATATAGGCTAATATCAAACCTGACATGCCCCCCTGAAACCCCCCACCATATTTTTACGGAAAGCACTAATTCCAGTGACACTGGGAATAGGCCCTGAAACTATTCCCAGGTCGTTTTAAAATCTATATTAATGCGCACTAGCCATTTACTGTGCGGGGGGGGGGGGGGGGGGGCTTACAAAAAGAAAACGCTCAAAATTGCAAAACAATTTATAACAGCCTAAGAGAGGACCATTTCTCTTCTAGGCTCAAAAGTAGAACCGACTTCGTTCAGTGTTGGATCCATCTAAGTTCAATCTTACCGAAATTGATCTGTAGTTAGTAGATTAGTCATACATATTATATCTGCGAATACCAGTCATTTCGTCACACATAATTGGGGTGTGACGAGATGACCGTGTGACGAAATGACCGGTTACCATCTGATCTAGGGCGATACTGATCACTCAGTTAGTTACATATAATAACATTTAATTATTAACGAAACCTCTCTTTTTATCTTACTTTGTAGGCCTACTACAGTCGAACCTGCCCTGACGGCCACCTCTATAAGATGGTCACCTGTACAAACGGCCATTTTCCGTTTCCCCCCTTGCGTTTTTTTCTATATAATTTAACTGTGTAAAACGGGCACCTGTCCAACGCGGCCGCGGCCACCATATTTCAACACACAACCCCTTTCATACTGGACCAAGCAATAACACCTGTCTTAGACAGCCCCACCTCAGTGACTCCATTGAGTTTTGTCATAAACTGTGCATTGGCCCCTGGCGTTGTGGCGAGCCGTCATATAATCCAATCACCTGTCGTTGTTGTTAGGTAGTCCCTTCAACCGATCATGTTGGGTAGGCCCCTCCCTCTGTTGACCAGTAGGTACCAATATTCAGCTGCTGGTGAGGTAAGCGTGTGATCCTTCATAACCTAAAGCCCCGCCCAGAACTCATACCCAAATCGTAAGTGAGACGAGTCGTCACTGTTTACCCACTTTGTAACAAAGTAACAATGGACGTCAACATGAACCTGTGACAGAAGCGTCGCGCGTCCTTCGAGTGGTTGCGACCCATGTGTTTGTTTTAACATAGCACTCGGTCTTCCTCATCTGATGCATTTCGTTTTATTGTCACCCTTGCGCAAAATCAGCAACAAGATAAAAATAATAAACAAAATACAAACCAACAGCAACAAAACAACAGCAATGCAAATGCGGCTACTTTCGATTGGGACCTCAGATGGGAATGGTTGGTTTTCTTCATCTTCCTGCCTAAGACGGCCACCTGTCTTATACGGCCAGTTTTCTCCCTGACCATGGGTGGCCGTCTTACACAGGCTTGACTTTAGTCCTATTATAACATCTTGTCTACAGAGCCCACAGCCCTCTGCTATAGTTACAGAGTGCAGGGTTTTACTGCGGTCAAATTGAGAGTAATCACAAGCCCACCTTATTTCCAAACTCCCGTGTTACAATAACAATGTATTTATATATGTTTTAAATGATATTGAGACAGAATTAGGGGCCTACAGTTCAGATAATGTGCCTGTGTAGGACAGATATATAAATAGATTCTCCCTGCTCCCCCCTTGATTTAGTTCTCTCTAATTACCCCTATAAAACAGAAACCTTAATATGGAGGATTTTTAACTTAAGATGGAAAATGCTTTGCTGACTCAGTTCTTTAAAAATTTGAAACCAAATCATCAAGTTTGGTTCTATCAGCTCTAACCTTTTCACCATGCAGCCAGGCTAGGAAGGGGATTAAGGGTGCGACTTAAGAGTATATAATATATATTTGCTATTCGATCCCATTATTAATGTGAACCCTGAGTGGTGCAGATGGTCAGGATTGTGTGGATGTGAAATCTCAGCAGTGCTTGTGAAAGTTTTTGAGTGTTGCTCAAGTCCGGAAAGCTTTCCAGGATAGCCAGAGGCCAGTTTTGTGAAATTGATTTGACCAATAGCCTATCTGTGGCCTTGATTGTGGGACAAGCTGAGTAAAAAGTTCCTTGAATCATTGTTACATACACAGGAGGAGTGGCAGTAGTTAAAGTGCTTATTACACCCCTCAGGGTCGAGGATACCGGAACTAACAGAGATATATATTTTTGGATGCCCTGCTTGGGTGGGGCTAAAGGTGGAAGCAAGGGAGAAGTTTCTGTTTTTAACAGGTCAAACAGTGTGGTCATATGAGATGCACTGGTGGAAATGGATATAAGGCTGATGCATGCCATTATCAGATATCAAGTAAGGTAGCACTTAAAAGGTGTGAAGTTTTGACAATTACTTGCTGACCGGACAAATGACACTTGTTCCCACCAGCTGGGCCTCTGGAAGCCCCATCCCTGTCCCCCTAAAGTCCCCTCTCCAACTAGACGGAAGATGTGTACAATATTTTTTTCTGGCTCTCTTGTGATTCCATCTTGGACAGGTTTGGTTCTTTTGTACAAAAATCTCTGTCTTGAGTTTTCCTAGGTCAGGGGGGATATAATATTTTCAAAAAAGCTTTTTCCCGTTTCTCTTCCATACTTCACTTAACTCAAAGTAGAAACACAACATTAACTTGTCTCCCTGTCTGACTTTTTCCATAGGCAGATGAGATTGAGGCTCTGACTGCCATCTATGGAGATGAATGGTGCGTAATTGACTCAGTTTCAAGAATATACTGCATCAGGATAGCAGATAGTCTAGATGATCCCAAATGGAAGTTGAGTCTGCAAGTATGTGCCATATTTACAATCAATCATTGTCAGCAATTTATTGTAAATTGTTGATCATTTAGATTAGAACTCATCTTTTGTTGATGGATTTGGTCTGTATTAAGTCTATCATTTGCCAATAATAGAGCTTCCTCTAAAATACTGCTCGGAACTACTCAGTACTCTAAACCTATAATATATTGTGTTAAATTCAAGAATAAAAAGATGTGTCCATGACGTGATGGAATCGGGCGCTCATCAGTTCTTGGCCATATGAAGTTGTTTGAATCATCCCACCCTTTTATTTTTAATCAAAGTTGAGATATTTTTATGATTGAATGTGTAAGGGATTGATCATTGCCTCGTATCAGAGGTAGAATAAGCGAGAAAATGGCCACAGAGTTTGGCGACTTTTTAAAAAGCCTTTTATCAACGTTTTTCAGTAAAAACTCGCACTATTTTTTAATGGACGTAAAAGGCCTTAGATTAAAAATTGTCCATTGAGCAGAAAAATTATGGTTTCTTTGGTTTTATTGTTTTGACAAGTGCCTGATTTCTCCACTGTCACACACATACATAACTAAGGTATTATATATATATGTATATTATATGCTCTGTGGAACCTGCTCTAATCATCTGTCCAAGGCAATTACCAGTACAAATGACCACTTTCCAGTTCCTCCTTGCTTTTTTTCTAAATTATGATGACACTGTTGAAGAGGACCACTTGTATAAGATTATGACTTAAACTCCTCGTCTGTAGGTCATCTTCTTGGACTGGTTCCACAGTATGTAATATTTATCACTGAATATTGATTTGGGTAATATGATATGCCATTTTCTATGTCTTTGCTTATGATGAATGTATTAAGATTTGTAACTTTCTCTTTTCCTTTTATTCAGGTTGTGCTTCCAGACGACTATCCATTATTGTCACCTCCTCAGTTTCAAATTAAGTAAGATCTGTTGATTTATATCTCAGAATTAACTCTAAATAATTTACAATGTAGTTTCACTATTTACATACCCAGATACCTAGAAAAATGTTTCATAACCTTTGTTTCTGAAGTATCAGAGTACAGTAGTCTCCGCCTAAGATCCCGGTGCTCATCTTAACCGACGAACCGAATTAAGAATCTATTGTGACCCATGCTAAGGCTCACAATCAATAAAACGGTCTCCCTCCACTCTAAAATGAACTGACGTGACCGCTTGGTGGGTTTATGACGTATGGCGAGCAAAGAGTGGTTAACCTTGATGACCTATCACAGTGCATAGTGGGATGTGGCGTGCCATTTTCATTTATTATCCTATCATGAGTCTCAAGATCTACGCTTATCCAGTTGCCCCTCCCTCTTACCTGTCGAAAATTTATAGCTTTCCATCTCTGACCGAGCCCCCCCCCCTTTCCCCCAGTCTGTCTCGCAAATTCGGGAGTAGAGACAACTTCTGCAATGGTCAGGAAAGAGTTCACAGTTCAATGTGATCCCGCCTGGCGCGAACGTACCCAGCGAGTGATGTAAGTTTAGGGGGAGAGCTCAGGTGTGAGTGCGATGCGTGGGGAAAACAAACGTGTCGGTCAGCTCCACAGAATTCTACACTTAGTAGAATTCTGTGGTCAGTTCACACCCCGGCGTGATCCCGTCTGGGGCAAACATTGTATCGCTTCATCGAGTTTTACAACGTGTATGTGATCATATTCACGATAGTGGCTGATCTTTGACGCGACGGACAGTTTATTGATCTCAACTTTTAACTCTTGGTTAATCGGCTGTCCCACCCAGGTTTTTGTTCCGCAAATTAAGATCTGAAATGCGGGATCTTAGCCGAATGTAGACATTCAGAGGGAATCAAAGCGGGATCTTAGGGGTGACTTTTGTATAGTAAAAATTCTGTTTTCTTAAAAAAGCGGGATCTTAAGCGAACCGGGATCGTAAGCGGTGGGATCTTAGGCGGAGACTACTGTATTAGATTGTAGACTGTAGTAAATAAGTTCAAGCGATGGTTGAAAAGTTTTATGAACTTTTTTAGTGTCCTTCTGTGCACTTTTAGTCTGCATTTTAAAAAATCAGGATAGAGCGCGATATATATATATATATGTCATGTATTATCATTGTTATTATTATTACAGTAGTCTCCACCTAAGATCCCACCACTTACGATCCCAGTTCGCCTAAGATCCCATTTATATATATTTTATTTTAAAAAATTTACTCCACAAAGTCACCCTTAGGGTCCCACTCTGAAGGATTACATTCGGCTACAATCCCGCACTTCAGATTATAATAAACAGAACAAAAACCGGGGCGGGCACAGCTGATCGATCAAGTGGAAAAAGTTTGTGATCACTGTACTGCCTGTTGTGTCACAGATCATCCGCTCTCTTGAATGTAGTCCAATATAAATCTCTATGAAATGGTACAATGTTTGCCCCAGACGGGATCACACGGAGGTGTAAACTCGTCAATATGCTTGTTTTCCCCAAACATCACACTTGCATATTCTCAGCTTTTTGCCTTTGCCTGAACTCACATCACTAAGCTGGATGTGTAGGGCCTACAAGACTGCATAGAGGGGATTATGTCACACTGTGAACTCTTCTGTACTTTTGTTGCTTTCCTGACCATTGCAGAAGTTTTTTGGCCTGACAGACTGAATTTTAATTATTAATGAGTGCAGTCACAACACAATGGTACGTTTGGACAGAAGCGGGGGAGCTCGATCTGTGATGAAAAGCTATAAATTCTGCACAGGTTAAGGAGAGGAGCAACAGGATATCAGCGTAGATCTTGAGACTCACGATAGGATAAGTGAAAACTGCATGCATCATACCATTGCAATTGGTCATCAAGGTTACCCATTCTTTGTTCACCATAAGTCATAAACCCACCCAGGAATCACGTCCGTTGATTTCAAAGTAAAGGGAGACCATTTCACCAATTGTTGGCCTGATCATGAGTCACAGTGGTTTCTCCTTTTGGTGCGTCGTCTAAGATCCTGTTCACCTATGATCCCGCATTTTGCTTGCTCCAAAGCACCAGGATCTTAGGCAGAGACTACTGTTATATGATTATTGTTATTATCATTATCATTAACAGCAGCAGCATATTATAATAATAATGATAATAATAATAATAATAATAATAATAATAATATGATTTCTTACTATTACTATTATTAGCTACATTCCTTTTAAGTGCAGCATGTTTTGCTTGGAAAATGCTTATTTTGTAGGTTACTATTGTAGCTAAAAGAGCTGTTGATGTTGAAGTGTTATTGTCAGAGGTCTGGCAGTGTTTGCGAAAAGTAACTTTTTGTTGAAAAACATAAAACTTCTTCCGTGAGAGTAATTTTCGTTTCATTTTGTTGGAGAATAATATTGTCTTTTTTTCCCTATTGAACTCAGTAGTGGAAGAACTTTTTTAGAAAATTGTTTTAACTGTTCTTAACTTAACACCAGCTCAATTGTTACTGTCTCTTTCAGTGCCACATGGCTGAGAGGGAATGAGCGCACTGCACTCGAAAATAAACTTTCTCAGATCTACTGGTTAGTACTGATTTCTTTTTGTATTAGAAAATTTTCAGTTGTGATATTTTATGATTTTGATTACCATGTGTGTCAGTTGTACTGTCAGAGTCATGAGTTAAGAGAGCAAGCCAAGTACAGCAGTCTCTGTCTTATGTCCATGTGCTCATGAACCAGAAAATATCGGAATGATCAATGAACTGAAATGGCTGGAATGGTCTTACCTAGATCAATATAATGGAGCAAGCTGTAGTTGACTTAAAATAGTCTTATTTTACTCTTTTATTAGTGAAAAAGTCTAAAGGATTGGCACCCTGATGTTGTGCAGAGTACTCTTTTGGGTTGAGATTTGAAGGAATGTTATTAAAACCTCAGAATGAATTAATGGAATTTGTGCTCTATACTATGACCGTCAAAGGTTTTTTTTACCTTTTGCACATCATTAGTATTGACACCAGGTGCCCAGGCGTTGTGTTCAGAAAAGCTTCTGACATTAGAACTGATGGGTAATAAGTTGCCACAACCTTTTATTCTTCTGTCATCTTTTGAGTGTGGAAGTAGCAACAGGTCTGAAAAATTTTGACAACTTGACTTGTACTTGCTAAGATTTTAATAACTTCTTTTGATAATTGCATGTATTTATTACAATTTTTGTTTTAAAAGGTCCATGCTTTTGTTCTAGTTTTGTTACTATCATGTGCCATGGTCTTTGACTTATTCAATCTCTTATTTCAGTGATAATATGGGTGAGGATTTGATTTTTATGTGGGTGGAAGGAGTTCGTGAGTTTCTTCAAGACAAGTCAGACAAAGGTAAGGAAACATAGTTTATGGTGCGTTCATTAACTTCTAGAAATCTTGTTGGATTTCTAAAATGCCTCAAGAAATAATTCACTACAAAAGATAATAATAGACTGTGTATGCTGGCAATGTGTGTGGTTAGGTAATAGTTTGTCTGTCTCTGTGTTCTCATCCTGGTATTTTGTTTTATCGTGGACAATAGTTCTTTTTATCTTGGTATAACTTCATCAGACTTTGTTGTTTTGGATACACATACTTGCTCTGCTGCTATTTTATAAAGTTATTTTGACTAAAATCTCATCAGTAGCTATTTGATAATTCAACATTATTGTATTTTGGACTCTGTAAATGGAATTTGTACCGTATATCCTAATATCTTATCTTCTATTTGTTAGATCCTATCTCTGACAGTGTTTCTGATAGGATGGTTGTTCAGACAACTGAGGAGGATGATGCTGATGATGATTTTGACCCCAGTTCTCTTGGTGATGTTACGTTTGTAGCATATCAAGCTGATCTAAACAACAGATGTTCAGGTAATGTTCTCAGCGATTGCTCTGGACTTAATATTTTGTAGGTTATTATAATTATGTAATGAAGAAATGCACTAATGATATGTTAATTATTTTGTAACTATTTGATAAAGATCTTTCAGTGCATTTAACTGATGATCTAGGACTTACATGATGATTCAGACTGTACAAATCCATTTTGATTAGCTCCAAAGACCATAAAAAATTAGACATATTTCTCGGTTGTTGTTTTTTTTACAGTTTCAGTGGCCTTCACATATGAGCAGGAGAAGGTTGAATTCATCTTTTTCCCCTTCACTAAAGGCTGAATTCTTTTGTACCTTATTCATCCTTCAGTCACACATGCTGGCCCTTTGGGTGTACTATAACTTCTTCTCTTTGTAGCTCCATTGGATAAAGTTCACCCTATTTTGTTCTGTTCAAAGTGGCGTTCGCTGGTGACCTGGAATAATATATTGTGTGATTTTGTCTCAATTAATGTTAATTGTATACTTCTTGACAGTGAATCATTTTGTGTATGCATTGTGCTTGTCATTTTAACAAAAATTTCTGCGGATGATTCGAGGACACCACTGGTAAAACTTACTTTTTCTTTCCCCCTCTTGTTTCTGTCTTTCTTTCTTTTTCCGTGCTTAAAAGAACCATTTTTGTGTCGATATGTTTTTCTGTACTCAAACAAACAAACAAACCAAAATTTCCCCTATTAGAATGTATGCATGTGTGTGTGTGTGTGTGTGTGTGTGTGTGTGTGTGTGTGTGTGTGTGTGTGTATGTGTGTGCGTGTGCTAAATTAATCATGTTGTTTTATTCTCTTACAGTGCCGTGTCCAGAGATCATTCACGGCAGCACACTGTCAGACAGACGGAGCACCTTCCAACCTCACTTGGCCTCAGTGACAGACAAACTTCAGGTGAGCTGTACAGTGTGAACAAACGCAATGACAGTAGAGCACTCACATAGCGTTGTATTAATAGATGGGATGCAGAAATCTTTTCATTAAGTATGAATTTCACTATGTACCTGTTTTGAATACAAAGAAAATTAAATGTACCACAGACTTGTTTCACTATGTGCATAGTTGTTATGTGCATGCTAGACTGTATTTACTGTGATTATCAGACTGCAAAAAGTTACTTTCCTCACTTCTAATAAGGTGAAACGTGAATTTATGGACATTGAGTTTCTTCTCCTTCATAAGAAAGCTGTGAGTTCTAGATTAGAGTTTTTCCAGTCCTTGTTTTTATTCTGCTGGTAAAAGAATGAGGAGGTTCTTTGAGAGAAGTGGACCAGAAGTGTAAAAGATCTGAAAATTGATTGTTTGTGTTTGACTTTATTCCTACATTTCTATATTTAAGTACTTTAGCCTAGTGGCTATGGACATGTGACTCTGATGTAGGGAGTTCAGATTTTAAGCATGTGGAGGTGTGTGGAGGTTTTACCTGCTTCTTCAATGAGAAATATAAACCAAATATCTCTAAGGAGCATTTTTGTTAGTTTCTGTTTCAGCTGGGATGTACACCAGATAGTATGTAGTTATAATAATATTATCAACATTATTATTATGTAAAAAAATATTTCTTGATCCTGAGATTTTTGTGAAAGCCATCACTGTGATTATTTTTACCCTATTAAAAAGTCACGTTGGATAAAGTTACCATATTCTGTTAACTTGAGATGGAAAAAAAGTCTGTGATATGATTTAACTCTTTACCTTGGTGTCCTCAGATCACAGCAGTTATGCAAAAGCTGCTGGAAAACAAGAAGATAGCAAATGCCACCCATAATATGTTGGCCTACCGCATCATGACTGGCTCTGGGCCCGTCTACCAGGGCTGCGACGATGATGGGGAGACGCATGCAGGATCTAGAATGCTGCATCTACTACAGGTATAAAACCTTTGTTGGTTCTTTCTCTTGTTCAGTTTCAAGCCCTGTAAGTTCAGAATAAGTAGGTATTTTTCAGTGGTTGAATACTTGATTCCCTTGTGGGACATGGAGCAGAGAGGAAAAATTGTTCTAGTCTATTACTATATGTGGTTGCTCAGTGGCGATGAGGCTCTTTCAGATCTCCGTATTCCTGCATGTGGTCCAATGATGCATCTAAATCTAATGTGATTTGTACATCATTGTCAGATTTACTTCTTTTCATATTGAATTTTTAGGAGAGTAATATATATGATTTTAATATCCATGTATACCTACCTGAAAGTGTTTATACAGTCCTGTACAGCTAAGAAAATTTTCCCTCTGGGACAGTAAAATATTATCTTATCTTTTCTTCATCTTATCTTGTCTTAACATATAAAATGCTTTTCTTCTACTTTTCACAGTGAGCTAAACATGTTTGGAGTTACTCATTTTTCTCCTGATCCCAACAGCATAATGCATCACCCGCAAAAGATTTGATAAATTGCAAAGTTGATTAGGAAAATTAAACAGATGTACATTTTATATCTCATCCTATCAGAAAATTTATGACAAAAGCAAAATTGAATGATGCAATGTTTCTTTCCAATTGCTAAAAAAGTCATATTATTACAATGTGGTCACTTCACCCTACTTCAAAATATCTTTACTTTGTTAGATTTTTCTGCTGGCAGATAATGAATGTAATATTTTTCTCTCCTGGCAGATATTGAATGTAACCTTTTTCTCTCCTGGCAGATATTGAATGTAACTTCGTTCTCTCATGGCAGATACTGAATGTAATATTTTTCTCTCCTGGCAGATAATGAATGCAGAAAATGTGATGGTGGTTGTATCCCGGTGGTATGGTGGAATACATTTAGGCCCTGACCGTTTCAAGCACATTAACAACTGCACAAGGCAGATCTTAGAGGAAAACGGTTTTCAACGAGACAAGGTAATTTCATCGAAATTGTTGGTTGTCAAAGCACTGCTCCCTGTGAATGGTTTTCATATCTTTTCTGTTTTGTTGTGGCATCTCGTGTTTTTTTGGTGGGGGTTTTTTTTTCATCTGTGTACAAAGGGAATGATATGGAGCTTGTTTGATTGGCTGAAGGCCTGTAATAATTCAACTCTTTTTTTCCCCCTCTTTTTTTGTCTGAAGTCATTCTTTTTGGACAATAAATTTATTCAAGTTTTGCCTTAGGGATTCTTCTTCTTCTTCCTCGTTCTCGATTACAGCTGCTGGACAGTCAGTCCGATGTCACGTACAAACTGTGTAGTTCCATAGATGAAACGCCACATCGAAAATATTGTTTGGATCCTGTCATCATAATGAGACTTGCGTGAGGCGGTTTGGGCAAGCCTGACTATCAGCACCTTTCGGTCCACCTCTCTGTCTTCTGCGTACTTTTCTGTCTGGGAGTGCTCCCATATCCTATAACTTTTCTGGGTTTGCCTGCTAGGCAGCAGGGGTTTTTGATCAGAGTTTTCCTTCTCCTGGATGAACTGCCATCCCTGGGTGTGGGGATATCGCGCCCCAGTCTCGCTGGCGAGTCTTTCACCGGGTGCTTAAGGTATTTTACATTGAGTAGAAGAATGGAATCCCACACCACAGTCTTCACCCCGCCCTCCATACTCACCGCCATTTGGTTTGCGACTGCTTATTTAGATATTCGCAGCTATCCTCTATGTCTAGAGGCCGTTCAACTATCCGCCACCTGTGGACGCACTGGGTTGGGGTTGGTCGCCCCGGGGCCCAGGCCATAGGGATAATTGTATTGAAAATTATGATTCAGTTTAAGTTTTTGATTATTGATCAGTGCCGAGTGTGGGTAGAAATTTTTGTTATACATTATCATCCACATACAAAACTTTGAAGTGGTCAATAAACTGTTTGAAGAAACAGGTCCAGTCTCTATTACATTTTTAAGGCAGTTTTCAACTTATCACTTTTTCTTTTTAAGGGAAATTTTTCTCAATTTTTGTATCCTTTTTTGCCTGTGTTACCAAAGTAAAAAGTAACTGTACTCAGGCTGATGGTGTCAGTCGAGTCAAAATTGTATTCCTGTTGCCGCCCCATAATTAAAAAAGTGTTAATCTATGACAAATTCATCTTTTTTACAGGAGGAGAAGAAAGGACCTAGAAGTGGCAAGAAGTCCAGATAGCCCGCATTGGTCTTTGTGTATTTCTTTGTGTGTTTCTGGTTTGCCCTGTGGCCTATGAGAATACTTTGCATATGTGATAGTGAACTGACCCCAGATGTTGATGGACTGGGCTCTTTCTGGAGTAACTGTTTTTTCTGAGCGCCTTCCTTTTAGTAAGGGTTCGTTCTTAATGAATTACTGTACATTGGTCTATTGATCTATTGACAAGACAAAATTCACTGAGTGTTGAATTTCCTGATTTTTTGTTGCTTTTCTTAACTATTTCTTGGTCAGAGACAAATTTTTCATTGCAATCTTGAAAATAAATGAGATAAGATACTGCTCTCTTGACTTACACTTTCACCTGCTGTACTACATTCTGAAATGTTGTGAGTGTGGTTATGCTGGGTACACAGACATGGAGATACATTTTTTTGGGTGCTGTCTTTGAAATAGATCTTGGATTTTTTTTAAAGTTTGCTTCAAACAGAGTTTTGAAAACAATTTTATCTAGTGAGTTAGTGAGTATTTATGAAGTGATACAAAACAGGCAAGATAATTTCTTTAAATCAAACTTTGGATTTGCCTGTTACTGTGTTATATCTGTACTTGATTTTCCAAAGTTATTATTCACTCCGTACTTTACTTTCTTCATGGGTGGTTTGGGAGGGGGGAGGGGGGGGGAAGTTTGCTCTGGAATGGTGTACTCTTTCTTTCTTATCAAACATCTGTTGTCAATTACCTCTTTTTTAAATTTGTATGTTACTGTCTAGTGAGACCTTTTATGTTCGACACTTATATGACCTAATTGTGTTTCAAGTGTAGTTTTTAAAAAACAATTTCACAGTTTTTAAAAATTTCATAATGTTAAAACGCCACAAGTGCCATAAAACTCTAACTAAAACTAAACTTATATCCCCCTACATAGTTTCATGTGTACTTGCCATTGGACATTCCTGAAAGGAAGCTTTTAGTTAATTGGGAAAGCATTGGAAACAGTCAAGTTGATGAATTTGAGTCACTTCGTATCCCTCCTACCACTCCCCACTTGTCCTGCAGTTTTGACATTCATGAGTTCTGGGGCGAGGTGAAAACATCTAATGGAAGGGACATCACAATGATATTACAATTTAGTAGCAATCATATTTTTTAAAGACAGAGTTGAGTCCCTTGTATGAACTTGGCATAAATGATACATGTTTATTATTCACGCAGAAGAAGACATTAGATCAAGTGGGGATTCTCCATGGTTCTACCTCATAGCCTTGTATTCTGTGCAATGTGACAAGAGGCATGTAAATTCGCAGTTAGTTGATTCTGTGTCATGGACTTTTTTTTGTCCAAACCAGGGATGAGCTGAGGTATAGATCTAGAAATCTACTCGTCTTTTGAGAAATTTTATGCCAAAAGTTTTGACATGTTTCCTGTATGGTCTTGAACTTGATAAAAAAACATACAAATTTTGTACCTTGTACATAGAATTCTTGTCTTCAGTGCAACCATAGAGAACTGTGCAATAAGTATGTAAATGTGTTTAAAATGAACTTTTGTATTTTTCTCTTTCTGTGCACTTTGCTAGTTGAAGGGTTTATGTCTTGTTCTATTTTTGTGTGCATAGGCCTACTTTGTTAGTAAATGAAGACTATTATGTTCTCAGAATGTCATTGTAGTATATTAATTTAATCAGACAATTTCAATGAAGAAAATTTTGATACTTAACAAGTGTGTTATGACACGGTGAATCAGGCACTCGTCAGCTTTTGGGCATATGGAGTTATTGATATCATCTTAATGCTTCTCCTATATGTCTTGCACGGAATATTTGCAATTGAAGAAGGTGGGGTCTCCTTGTGTCAGGTAAAATTAATGAGAAAATGGCCGCCAGAGTTTGGTGACTTCCAAAGCTTGAAAATCCTCTAATACTGCAAATCTACTTTTTTTGTTCCTGGATCGAGGTTTTTCAATAATGTCCACATAGAAATATGCTTTTAAATGGACATAAAAGGTGTTGACAATCCCCCCCCTCCATAATTACTTTTTTAAACAAGTTCTTGACTTCACCATCATGCCACACAAATTGTACTTTCTAATCAGCACTTTTATTTGGATGGTGGAAGGGCATTCATTATTGTTGCCAGTCTTGTATGGCTGAAAAAATGTGTGTGTTTGCTTTGATCAGTTATATATATATATATATGAAAGTTACATATCATGTATAATTTTTTTTTCTTCAATTTATCACAATTTTTTTTTCATATTGACTATGACAATGATTGGTACCATTGCAATTGTCTATACCTGTGTTGAGTGATCCTTTATTAATTAGGAATCAACCTTTTTTTGTGTGAATAAAGTACATGAAGAATAATGTAAGACACATGACAAGTGGTAATGCCAGAGTTCTTTCTTTCTGGTCAATGTACCCAAGGGCAGCATGTGGTATGTACAACTGACCAGCTATTATTCATGTCGACTCCCCCCCCCC